GCGCGTCAGCCCGCGGCCCGGGCTCCGAGACGCCAGGGGGCGCCAGGCCGCCCGATCCCGCCAGAATGCGGGGCCCTCCCCGGAGCCCCCCATGTCCCCCTCCTGCCCTCGGTTGGCCAGGCCCCCGGGCGATGCTGAAACGCAGCCGGTGCACGCGGCGGCGGGCTCTTTGTGACTCCGGAAACTGGCGCACCGGGGCTGGGCTGGCTGCGCGCCCTGGAAGGACCCTCGCCCGCGCGCCTCCTGGTCGCGCCTCCCGTCCTGCTGGTGCAGTCCCCGGCTGTCACCCTGCTACCCCAAGTGCCAAGCACTTCACAGATTCAGCCGCGTTGGAATGGGGAAAACCTTGGGTACCCTTGGTTCCCGGCCCAGCCACTTGAAGTGCCATTCATCATGGCGCTGCCGCTTACAGGTGGCCACAAAACCGAGGAGCGGGTTCCAGGGCTGCAAATGCACACGACGTCCCGGAATCACCGCGCTCGTGAGCGCGCCGCTCGGGCTGGTGCCAGGAACAGCCGGTGTGGGAGGCGCGGGGTGCGGCGAGGGCACAGACAGTTGTTTCATTTTGTCTTCTGAACAATGACTGAGACTTCCCGCACCTGGGACCCCTCCTTGATTTTTGCCTCTGTGCTTAAAGCCAGGTTTTGGTTTTTTAAAAAGAGTATTGATGGCTTTTTTAAAAATTCACGTTTTTTATCTTTGTGGAAAAGAGGACAATGCTAGGGACCTGAGTCTCACACGCGGCCAGAAATTTCAGACCCTTTTGACTGTGTTAGAAAGACGGGGAGAGTGCTGGACCAGGGCGATGGACCTGGTGGGATGTGGGGTCCTGGTGCCACTTGCTCCCAAGGCTGCCCTGGGAGGCCACCTGCCCAGCCTAAATTCCTCCTCCTGGACACTAGGGGTTCAGGCTACACTACTGTAAGTTCCTTGGGCTTGATTTCTCTGAGGACCTTCAGCTCAGGCTAGACCACGGTGGGATCCCCTGGCTCAGGCTAGACCCTTGGGAGGGTCTCCGCTTAGTCAGAGCCCTTGCACTCTTCCTGCATAGGTGACTTCCTCCAAGTGCCTCCAGTGCAGACCCCTGGCCCCAGGCTCCACAGAGAAGGTGAAGCCACTTCCAGTGACAATGTGTCCAGATGCGAGCCTCAGAACAGCGTTTTAGCCAGGCGTGGTGGTGCACGCCTATAATTGCAGCACTCAGAAGGATCGTCATGAGTGCGAGACCAACCTGAGCTACAAAGTGAGCTCAAGGCCAGCCTGAACTGCATAGCGAGACCTTGCCTCAAAAAGACCAAAAAGAAAAAAAGAAAGAAAAGAAAGAAACAACGTTTTATTTGGATTTTTTAAAAGACATGTTTTATTGAGCTTGGTCATGCACTTTTTGAGTTATAGTTTTTCATTATTTCCCCTTTTACATAACTTACTGATTACTAAGGCACAAAACCACACCAGATACTCATCGTTCCCCGCTTTCCAGTTTATTTTCAGGGACAAAAAACATGCTGAAAGCCAGGCGTGGTGGCACACGCCTGTAATCCTAAGCACTAGGGAGGCTGAGGCAGGAAAGTTGTCATAAGTTCGAGACCATCCTGGGCTACAAAGTGAGCTCAAGGTCGGCCTGAACTGCATAGTGAGATTCTGTCTCAAAAAGACCAAAAAAAAAAAAAAAAAAAAAAAACCCAACCAAAAAAAACCCTAAAAAAAATGCTGAAAGCCAGCGGAAGAAGCACAGATAATGTATTCCTTTACCCACATGGGATGAGGTAGAGGAGGGTGGGTGGGGAGAAATGCAGGTTCATGGTGTGGATGTATGCTCAGGGGTATGAGAGGGAAGGCCTATGTCTGCTCTAGCTTTATTATTGTTTTTTTGAGACAGGGTCTCCATGTGTATTCCAGGCTGGCCTCAAACTCAAGGCGATCCTCCCACCTCAGCTTCCCTAGTGCTGGGATTATAGGTGTGCGCCACCATGTCTGGCAATGCTCTAAAGGATGATGTCCAGCTGTCCCCTTGCTGCATCGAGATTTTCCCAGTCTGCACTGCACCACTCAGATCTTTCCAGGAGCTGCTTGGAGAATGCCCGGGACCTAACACACAGCCCCATCCCTGGAGCAGGCCTCTGCAGCACCTGCAGGGCAGGGAGAGAGGCAGCCAGGGCTCAGGCAGTCAGCTGGAGAGGAAGGGAAGCTGTCGGGGAACTTTCCTCACATCTGTTCAGGAGGTGGGCCGCAGATGGGTGGTCCCATGTCTCCTCTTTCACCATTTTGGCTCTGCACCCAAAGCTCACGCAAAATGTTTTATGATGCCCCTGAAACACACATTCCTGTCATCCCAAGTACTCGGGAGGCTGAGGCAGGAGAATCAAAATGTCAAGGCCAGCCTGGGCAACTTATGGAGACTCTGCCTCAAAAGAAAAAATAAAATTAGGCACGGTGGCACATGCCTATAATCGCACTGTGGGAGACGCTGTCTCTGAAGGGAGGTGGGATGGGGATGTACCTCAATGCAGAGGCCCTGAGTTCAAACCCCAGTGCCAATAATTAATCAATGATTTTTTTGTACCAGGAATCGAACTCATGACCTTGTGCTTGCCAGGCAGGTGCTGTGCCACTGAGCTATATTCCTGGCCAATAAATTAATTTTTAAAAGGGGTTGGGGATGACCAGTGGTAGAGCACCCCAGGTTTGATTCTGAATACCACAGACACGCACACAACACAAAACAAAAAGCCACACGCAACAACCCCCAAACAAGCAAGCAAACAAAATGCACCTTTGCCAGTCATTCTGCTCAAGTTCAGACCAATTCTTATTTGCAGCCCTAAAACCAGCAGCGTGCCTGGTGCCGGATGTGGGCCGAGCGTTGTCAGTGCTGACTTTGCAGATCGCAATATTCTGTTTTCACTAAGCAGCACTGTGTCCTCCTCCCAGGCTGGGGCTCTAGGCCTTTTTGGCAAAGTGCTTTGCTTTGACCCAAGTCTGAAGAGCATTTTGAAGTTGTTCTACTTTCCCGCATGACCAGAGGCCCCGATCTGCTCCCCTCACATTCTTCTGCACCGTTTTCTTTCATAAACCCTCTCTCCCCTGGGCTTCCCACCAGTGTGTGATGGGCCGGAGGATTGAGCCCTGCATCCCACGCAGTGTGCGGTGGCAACATGGCTCAGCTCCTGCCTCCCCAAGCCCCGTGAGCCTGGACAAACCCCACTGAGGAGAGACAGACGGACAGGGTGTCTGGCCTCAGCCCCTGGGCGGGACCTGCCTGTGTGCTGGTGAGGAGTGCCTGTCCTGAGCTGCCCTGGCTTAACTTGCACCAAACCCCTCGACCTGTACAACTGCTCCCTACTCAGCTTGGGACACATACATCCCTCTCCTAGCGCAGCAAGCAAAATGCTGATCTGATCTGACTCACTCCACCCCCCATGTCTCTCCACAGAGAACTAACAAGACTCATCTATTTACAAGGCTGATGTTATTTTGCAATAAATGTATTTTCACAAGCTCCTTGTATTTTATGCATCTTCCTACATTTAGGGAAAACAAGTCTGTCAGTTCTCGGCTGTGCGTGCTGCTGAGTGCTGGGGATGCTCAGTGAATGTGGGTTCAGGTCTCACTGACTGCACCCTGGTCTGCAGGGAGAGGCTGGGGACCCCAGCAGCAACCCCAAGTTCCTGAGAGGGAGGAGCCTCCAGCTCGGCAGTCGGGAGTCCCATCAGGGCCTTGCCAGGCACCCAGAAGCTTGTGACTGGTGCTGTGGTTCTGGTTGGCAGCATTTGCTCGTACTGCCAACAGGGACACGAGGGCAGACTGAGTGAAAAAACTCATCAATAATCACCAAGTTCCTGTTTATTTCTGGTTGTCTGAGACATGGTCTCACTATGTAGCCCAGGCTATCCCTGAACTTGCAGGGATCCTCCTGTCTCGGCATCCCAGGTGCTGTGATTACAGCCTTGCATCACCACGCCCAGCTTTATCAAGTCCCATTTTAGCACTGATCATTCCTTAACAACCCGACCCTCCCCACGCACACACCCCAATCTGCTAGTTGGATTGAATTGTCACCTGGGCTCTCTTGGTTCTGAGCCCCCCGGGTGAAGAAGCTGCCTGGGCCTTAGCCTTCCCATAAGGCGGTTGGGCCACATCAGTTTTAAGCTCAAAGCGTCTCTGTGCAGCTTTCATTGGGGGAAGCTAAGTAGAACATGAGGGCTCATGCAGGGAACAGAAAAAAAGGAAAGTTAGGAAGCTAGAGCCAAGCCGGGAGTGGTGGGACAAGCCTGTAATCCCAGCATTCGGGAGGCTGAGGCAGGAAGATCAGCCTGGCTACAAAGTGAGCTCAAGGCCAGCCTGAACTACATAGCCAGACCCAGTCTTCAAAAGACACACACACGAAAAAGACAAAAAAAAAAAAAAAAAGAAGAAGACGCCAGGGCCACTTTGACAAACTGCGTGTCCCAAGTCCAGGGCGGTCGCTTCCCACTAGCACTGAGCCGAGAGCGCGGGGAGCAGTCACCTTGGCCGGGGAGGGATCACGGGTGTTGGGGGAGGCACAGCTCCTGCGCTCTGAGTCACTGGGAGCAGCTAACCGCCTTAGGGACAGCTGCGGAAGCCGGGGGCTGGGAGGGAGAGGAGCGAAGAGAGGGCGCGCGGGAGGCGACAGGGAGAGAGCGTCGGAACCGGAACCTCAAAGGCGCCTCACCAAGGTCCGGAGCTCCAGCAGAGGGGCAGGGGCGCAGGCGCGCTGCTGCAAATAGACCTGGGGCAGCCGGGACAGGACTCCCGCGTCCAGGCCGACCTGGTTCAGTTCCGGCAGCAGGAAGTGCAGGAGAGATAGGGCAGAATAACCTGACCCGCCGAAGCGAATTAAATAATCGAGAAGACCCGACAGTTGCCATGGCATTAAACACCCCGTGCCACATCAAGTTTCTTTTTTCTCTGTCGCATGATTCAGGTGCTCGCAACCTGTTTTTGTGTCGTTGCAGTCTTGCCAGCCTAAACCGAATTTAGGCCCCCGGGCATGGAGGAATGGAGGAGGTGGCCCAGATATTTTCGTTTGGGTCAACTCTGGGCCAGTGTTCTTTCCACGGTGTGTCGGGTCTTCTGCGCTTCTCCTTACAAGATAAGAAAGCACTCGGGAGAGTTCGCTCTGGTGAAGCCAGCGAGAGGCAGGATTTTTTGTTTTTGGTTTTTTGGGACAGGGTCTTGCTATGCAGTTCCGGCTGGCCTTGAGCTCACTTTGTAGCCCAGGCTGGCCTGGAACTCGCAACGATCCTCCTTCCTCAGCCTCCCCAGTACTGGGATTACAGGCGTGCACCACCACGCCCTACTGATTTTTTTTAAAAAAGAAGAAAAATTGGATGCAGTTTGCAGAGAGAATTGCTTTAAAAATTGCTTCAGAAAAATCAACGG